CCTGTGCGTGATGACATGGACATGGGTTAAGTCATGTCGGACACTGCGCGCACACACACGCACATGTCAGTTCGACTGTCGCGGACGACGATCTCTACCATGGCGGTGCAGGACGGGAACTTTTGTGCGGATTCGTTTATAGTAATAGCAGAATTGGGTTATGAATTGCACTTCAGTAGGGGTTCCGCGTTGCTATGTGGGCTGTCAAGCATAGCTAGAATTAACTGTAGCATGCATACAGGGTAGAATTAGATTCTCAGCAGGGCCTGCAATGAGGTAACGTTCTGGAAGAAAACAAATCTTGAAAGTCCAGGAGTTCGTTTTACTGATAAGAGCATTGACTAATGGCCGTTCAGGGAAATCAGACTGCCTAACGAGAGCCTGTTTTTGGGAAGAATATATCCAAAGTGTTTATGGAAATAAAGCTGGTCCTTGGTGAATCACCCATGCCTGCCGTGTATGTTTTCTCCCCCGATGTCCCCGGAAGAGAGACCACTTTAAAGTCAGGCTGAGATGCCCAGAATGCACCTTTACGGAGAGGAATTTTCAAATGCGTGACGCATGGCACTGCCGGAATGCAGAACTGCACAAGTCAAGTTCCGTGTGCTCTTCAAAATCGTGCGGACTGTTCTTTTCTAAGAAATCATAACGTCTGTCTTAGCGCCCCTTGGCTACTTCCAGCGTAAAGTATGCCTTGGTTATTACCGGGTCACGTTTCCCAGTGGACAGCATGACAGAATCCACAGAGACGAAATCGGAATTAGCAATTAGGGATGCATGAGGCAGTGGATCCATTGTCTGATTTTGCTTTCCCCTTTTTGGTGATTTCAGTACTTCATAAATGACGAAAGTTCACCCTGAACCTGTCTGGCTACCGGGTCTTTCAAATTTATTGATTGTTTGGCCTTATTTGGCCGCCTGCGCGGCAGGCACTGACGGAGCTAGTATCTTCTCGCAAGCAGATCGTTAAAGTGATTAGCCCATTATTTTGAAGTGTTCATATTCATGAATTCTGCCTGATAAGGTCTTTTTGAGGCGTTGCGAATGGATACTTTACATGTCCCCAGTGGAATCGATAATTCTAACCACCGCAATGCAGTAAGTGGAATATCATGAACAACAGATCCATATAACTATTGTAACGTTCATGCCAGTGGCGGTAGTCCTTTCTTCCTTTGCAAAACTTCCCTGAATAACCGACGTTTGAGTCAGTCCCAGGGGTTCTTTAGCAGACTCCGTTTCTGAAGCTGGTTCCATTACAGTGCTCATCCACTCGTACCAGTCAGTTATCTTGCCGGCAATTAGGAGTTTATTATAAAGTCCGAAGAAGGGGAAGCACTCGGGAACATCCAACTACGTTGAAATAAAATAGGAAGTCTGATCTG